CAAGCTCAGGTCCCCATAGGTGAGATGATTTATCCACAGTGGCAGAGCGTGAGTCAGTCAGAGCCACAGACAGCACCAGGGGAACTCAGTGATCTAATTCAGGGAGAATTAAAAACAGATGCTACTGCTCTGCAGTCTACGGAGCCCGCCGACATTGCCGAGGCCGGAGAAATCCGAGGTTTCAGGTTTTCCTCCACTCCAGAAAACACAAGCACTTGGGAGGCAAACTCACTTGCTTTTAACTCCTAACGGCTACACACAGAGGACTGAAGAAAGGGATGTTTTAACTACATTCCCCTTAAATTAACTTGAGGAGTTGGCGACAGTGTGCTAAAGAAACTGTGGCGAGGTCCAAGTATTTATAGGAGCTGCATACGAGCAGAGCTCTGACTGAAGCTACGAGCACGCTCCTCTTTGCAAGAGCACAGGGAGTGGGGGGAAGAGGTGTTACTACAAAGCTGAGCAGAGTCTCCGGGAAGGGAACAAAGCTTGAGTTGCCAGCTGATGGAGCAGCCTGAGATTTAGGACAGATACTTACTTCTTTGGAAATGTACAGAATAGTAATTTTGCAAGAAAAGTGCCCATACTTAAAACTCCCATTTTTAAGAGGAAAAAGACTAACCAAAGAAATGGAATCTACAGCTTTAATCGTTCATCACAGTTGAGTCCCGTGGAGTACGGAAAATGGCTTTGCAGTAGCACCGTGGCCTGCCTTCAGGTCACGTGACGGTCTCAATGCAAAGCTTTGGTCACATGGTTCAGCTGTCTGACAGAGAAGGGGAGGCAGGCAGGGGAAGGAGAGATGTGGGGTAGATGTAACAGGAGCTCCTGGGGACTTAGGTCTCGTCCACAGCCCAGTACTTCTGGGCACCGAGTCTCATCCGGCACAAGCTGCAGCCTGTGTTTTGTTCAGAGAGCACCGAGCACGGGTAAGCCCGGCCTGGCTCCAGCCCCTTCACATTCATGCTTCGGAACTCAAGCATCAGGACTTTTTCCAGATTGCTTTCCTTCTGACAAACAGCATTCAGCATGATGGGAGTCTCCCCAGGACAGTGCATCACGAACACCAGACCCTGCCTGCAACACCAGCTGCCTCCCACCTTGTGTGGCTGCTGGGCACACAGGCCCCGGAGGGTCCAGGGAGCTGTTTAAAGCCCCACCAGAGTCTGAAAGGACCATGAGGACTAAGCCCAGACTTGGAATACAAACATTCGCATCTGCTCGTTCCATCAGGGGTAAGTCTCTGAGCTGGGACCACTCTGGGGAAGCAGGCCCAAACCGTGTGGTAGAGGCGGGTCACCTTTGACAGAATGGAAGACACCACCAGGGCCTCCAACTCAGACCCAGGCCTTCCTCCAACCCACAGGAAGGATAAAATGCTACTCCCGAGTTCCCACGAGCAGAGCACGGGAATGGCTGGCCACTTGTGAGCCCCCTACTGATCCCATCCATCCTTACTGTAGACTCTTCCAGAAAAAGGGAAGTCAAAGTGCAGGGAACAGGCTCCAAAAAGATCCCTGTGTGTTTTGCAATGTTTCACCATCTTCCTCAATTAAATTCTGATAGAATGGAGCTGGGCCAGATTCCACCTGGAGTGGGCCCACCAATTTCTTTCAAAAGAAGTTCCATTTGACTGGGTCAAGGACTGGGCTCTCAGGGTGGGAGGAAAGAGGGGGCACAAGCCACAGCGCTGATGCAAACAGACCAACCAGGGCAACTCAGACTAAAGCTAAGGGGAATCTGTCTTTTATGGCTCTGGGCTCATGTGTTTAATTCAGTAACTAGTATACACTCAACCGTCAGGATCCAGGTCTCGCTGCAGGTGCTGGTAATGGGGACGGGACAGCATCCCCAGTGCTGGCACCTGCATCTGGGGGATGGAGGCAAGATAATACAGAAACAAGTAAGCAGTTATCGGTGGTGAGGGCAGAGAAGGAGAAAAGAAAATGGTGGAGGGTGATCTGTCAGAAGATGGTAGAGAATGAGGAGGTCATGTGTACCTCGGGGACAAAGGAGTGGCCAGCCATGCCAGGAGCAAGGACAGGTGTTTAGGGCAGGGAGAAAGAGCGAGCCATAAAGACCATAGCAATGGTGGCCACTCCCACACCACACCATCTGCCAGGCAGCACACAGGGCCCCGTCCCCACACCTGGTATCACTCAGGTGTCCGCGCTAGAGCCCAGAGTGAGAGCAGTGGCTCTTGCCCAGGCAGCCTCCCACAGGCACAATCTGGATGTCTCACAGGGACAGGGGTCTGTGCATAGAGTCTTAGTGCCCTATGTCCATTGGGGGTTTCTGTCCAGGACCTCTACTCTAGCCAGGACAGCAGGTGCTGCTTTCTTCTGGCCATCTGGCTAAGACTCAATGGACCTTTGCTCTGTGTCAGCCAGAGCTGGCCAGACGACTAACCTTCAGACGCTGCCCTCTCCAGCGAGTTGTCTGCTTCAGATCAACCCAGTGACCTGGTGTGTTCCTTCCACAATGACAGAAGGCCCCCAGAGGACAACAGTGTACACAGCGATATGCATCATGTGTCTGCTAGCCAGGGCACACTGTTCCGCAGGCAGATGCCCTGACACTCATGAGTGACAGGAGGGGAGGGAGGGGCATGGCTCAAGGTCACTGTCAGCCCCACCAGGGGCATTTCCCAGAGGGCATCGGTGGCCATACATGCTCCCTCTGTAACGAAGCCTGCTCCCGCTCCTGAGGGCAGAGTCTCAGTAATGGGGGAGGGCAAACAGGGATCAGCTCGACAGAGTCGAGTCATTCTGTTAACAAGAACTCAGATTTGATTACTCTGTGATTACATGGTTCCGCGGTGTGATAAATTGGTTAATAACAGGGTTCCCAATGTAGCGGCTTAATGGGAATTCAGTAATTACAGGTACCCAGAATCGTACTGTTAGCCTAGGAAAGGCGAGCACCCGCCTGCCAATCTAATAACTCAAAACCTATCTGGGACCGTTGACACAGTTATGATCTGGAGAGCACGCTTCCAGTATTAACCACGCACCTGACAAAATTACCCCTTTGTACCTAACATACCAGGTTGGATACCACAGGATCTCCCACCGTCAACTGCACAGTCCTCATTTTCCTTGTGAAAGGTCCAAACTGAAGACTTCTCCCATGGGTATCTTTGTCACTGCTAGCTCTGGTTCACATGATAAAATGAGGTATCATCAGATAATAAGGATTACAAAAGATCTGAATTGCAGCTTAAGAGTTTAGGGCATGTTTTCACTGACTTTACTTTGCAGGGGAGGGGGAGGTTGGAAATCCTCCCCATAATTCAGGGAGACTGTCAGGCGGGCACTTGGGGAAGCCCACATGGCCCCTGCAGCAACAAGAGGAAAAGGCAGGAGGCTGGTCCTTGTTCCTCCCACCACAGCGCATCACTGCGCTCACGGTTCACAAGGGCAGCTGCACACCTGCCCTGACGGGGAAACTGTGCCTCCAGCATCACGTGCTCTAGATTAGCAAGGCACGAGCGCACGAGGTTTCATTCTGCCTCCTATAAACTGCAGCATAACTCAAAAGGGCCATCTGAAATGAAGGGGAAAAAAATAATTCTTGTTTTGGGAGCAGGGGTTAACTAGCCATAAACTTCTCTGACAATATTTTTAATTTTTCCAGTACTATTATAGTCTTCGACGGTAAGAAAAATGGAACGGTGGATTTAAAACATAAAATGGTCCATTAGATGGGTCTTGAACTTGTTTTTAAAAGTCTGGATAATACAGCTTTGCTGTTTTGTCTTTCCAAAATGTCAAAATTTGGCTAGGATTAATGGTTCTCTAAATCAATAGGATTTCATGTTTATAAATGGTTTATGGCTCTACTGGATATAAAATGTTATGAGCTCATGTATTATCATCATTGCTGAGCCTTTACTGAAATCTACTGACATTTAGTCGGCCTCCAGACCAGATGTGGAAGGAGCCCAGGGTGGAATTCTCCAGAGGCCTGGCGTGATGCAATGCCCACGTTCAAAGAGTCGGGGTACATGGGCCGTGAGAAGGGAGGCAAGGCTCATCACCACCGGGGCCATCACAGAAAAGTGTCACTGGACCAGGGCGTCCGATCCCCAAGCCCAAGGGGAACCCTGAAGTTAGTCCGTTAGAGGATCAACAATAGGCTTCCCAAAGCCATGAGGGGAAGGAAGGGCCCCAGGCAGGCCACAGTATTCTGTGGAGAAATTTCCTAAGAAAATAATTTCTTGAATCCTGCCATTGGAACACAAACATCGTCACTACTGCCGAAGGTCCCTCCTCGTGGCTACACGTCTGCACACTTTGGCTTGAGCAATGTAATCGCAATTTTAGGTTATTTTCACTGCCGGAAAAACTTCCCTTGATCACCACTCAGTGACACTCAATGGCGCTGACCCCATAAACACACCATTTCCCCCGAGGCTGGATATCGTGGTGCCTACCACGTTGGTAGGCAATGAGATTTCATAAGGAGAACCGAAGCCAAGGTCATGTCATGCCACCGTCTGAGGTGAGATCCACGAACTTCTCTGATCTTGTGAACAGGTGCACGGGCCCAGGGCTCTCACACCGCTGCTCTGTATGAGCACAGAAGGCCGCCCAATACTCACACTTCCAGTTCCCTGTTCATTCCATGAAGCACATGTGTGCAGTCTACGGACAAGCCAGAAAAGGTTATTTGGAAGACACCTTTCTCATTACAACACACACAGGCCATACTCTGTCACCAACTGAGTACATTCATAAAACTTCAGAGGCTCATCACAAAAGCAAGGAAGTGATTTTCGAAGAAAATGAACCTATTTAAGACAGCTCCCAGTGACACAGAGCTAAAATAGATCAGAACTGACTGCTCACTACGGAGCCATGAAATTATATAATAAACATTAACATAATGCAAACCGGTCATCACCCTGGTTAGGATGTCATCACATTTTGTTGTCACTAAGGGGGATCTTTACATATGAAAGCTCAAGCACTAAATTCTCCCCTCTCTCTTCTTCCCAGTGTGGAGCTGGACTTTAAGCAGCAAGAAGACAAGCTCCAGCCAGTTCTGAAGAAACTCCATCCTTTTGAGGAGACTCAGGTCGCACCTTCGCCTTACTCTCAGGAGCCCTACTCCGCGACTCACAAGCAAAAATCCAAACCCGAATCTAAAAAGCACGGAAGATGGAAACTCTGGTTTCTTTAAAACTCATGGCGTGTGGAGTCTAAAGGCCGTCTTTAAAACCCAATGGAGTATGGTAAATCCTTTTCCAAAACAAACAGGATCGAGTGAGCTGCGGCGGCCTCTCGGGCGCCTCCCACTTCCCACCCTGCTTACCGAAAAGGCCTTTGTACCGACAGGTAGTGACCAGAAGCAAGGTAGCAGACGTCACACCTTGCTGGCTGTTCTCTGCCGTTCACGGATGTGGGATGTAAACTCTGAAATGAAGCTTATGTAGTCAAAGAGGATAAAAATGCTATGCCCCCACCACACCCCCAGATCGGCAAGTGTTACGTTATCAGCCTGCGAGACGGTGGGCTGTCACTCTGTACACAGCTAAAACTCATAATTATTTTCCAGCCTTTCCTTTTTCTTTTTCTTTTTTTTTTTTTTTTTTAATAATGAGAAGAAAAAGCAAGCCTTATGTTTGCAAAAGACTTCATTTTTATGTTTAGTTTTGCAAATAAGCAGGGGGCGAGTGCCATTTTCAGCACATCAAATTCTGGAGAAAGCACAATTTTTTTAAGTGGTCGGAGACCAATAAATAATCTCTAAAATGTGACTATATGTATATTTGCCTTCATGTGCTGTAGCGCTAAGCCAAGTGACCCCATCTCAGTGTCACACTGACACCTCAAACTTAGCATTCTCTTCATCTCCAGACCTGCAACATGTTTACTGCTCATTTTCCAAATGGCCAGCAGCCAGGAATCCCCCAAAGTCTAGGACATGCCTTTACTCACTGAAGTTGACAGGGTCAGAGCTTTGGACACTAAGCTTTCTTAGATCTCATTTTTAATCTTTTGGTACCCAAAGGCCAAATGATAAATTCTGGCAAGAATTTGAAAACACACATAGAGATACACAGTGGATAACGCCGTCACCAATAAATCATAGGGGTTCTCTGCCGCCAGGAAGTGTTTCTGTGGATAAGTCTTTGAAACCTTGTTCATCACCAAAAACGCAGCCAGACTGTTTTATACAATCCATTCTGCTCTGTCACCGCCGTGGAAGACCGGACCATCTCAAAGAGAAGCCGCGTGTTTAGTTTAGCTGCCGCCAACAAACTTTATGTCACCTACATCCAACCTATTAGTCAGTTGTACTCAATGACATACCTAGGGGAAAGCTGTGAATCAAATGTTTTTAGGTATTTTTTAAATAAACAGTGACACTTAGAGTTCTCTTTTGATTATACATTGCAATATAAATCTTAGTTCCTTTATTTTTCCACTCATTCTTTTGCACCTTTGCAATTATCTTTTTATAGAAATCAAAAGCCCCTCGTCTACAAATGACTTGGTCTGTCCATTTTCTGCTTTTCATGACAGGAAGTAGGAAATCTTATTTTGCCTTTTTTTTTGTACAAGTAAAATTTTGAATAGTTTGTGAACATACCAGAAAACCTAGTCTTCACGTTTCTGTCCAAAAATTTCACATCTAATCTCATGCTGACATGGACACATCATTGATTAGATGCCAAAAGGATGTCTACCTGCATTTTTCCCATCGGAGCTATTTCTTGCCATGCGTCTTCCTCCTCACTCAATACCAAATCTATTTTAGTTCTAAGTGTTTCGATTCTACAAGGACCTAGTGATCAGCCATCAGACCCAGAATTGATAAAATGAAGAGTGTATTCTGTAAGCATTCTTTGGGGGTTACACACACTATCTTGCAGATGTATCCTTTAATTAAAAAGAAAAACACACATCTTTAGTGGAAACACTATGTGAGCATAGAAATCCTTGAATTATCAGTAAACAGAATTGAGAAATATTTTTGTGCAAGGAAAAGGACACATTGATCCCGTACCATGAAGGAAGTGCAATTGTTTCATGTAGACAAAAATTTAAAAAACAATGTGTTTCATGTATTTTATACTGTTTTTAACTAAAGTTATAAAAATGTTTGCAAGTTATATCCCCTTGTGTTTTAAGAATCCCGACTATCTCGGTAAATTGAAATAAGGGTGTTAGCAGCTTTCTAATCAGTGCTATAAATCCGTCTCAACAAGAGGGCCTCCTAGCAAACATCACTGTTTAAAAGCAGTCTAGATCAAAGAAAAAAAATTCAAAGTCAAAAAGGAAACTGAAGATAAACTAATTCCTATTTAAAACTAAAACTATCTTCAGAATAGAAAAAAAATTTTTCAAAATCATTTCATAGTTTAATTGCAATGTGTCATGAACAGACGCCTATTCTTCTCTTAGAAAGATTTAAGTAAAAACTTTGATACAAAACCAAGGTAAAAAGTACAGTGTTCCCTCATATGTACATGTATACATGGCATTACGTATAGAAGTTAAATTATTATACTTGTCACTAAGTTCTTTATTAATTTTTAAATAAAAAATCAAAGGTAATGTTTTGTGTGGCTCTTAAACTTATTTCATTGTCTTGACAATTTGGGAAAATAGAAGTAATCTAAGAAAGTAATAATAAAGGAAGGATAGTGGGGCTAAAAAGAACTCCGTCCCGTGCTCAGGAGAGGAGATGATGGTCAGGCGGCTGCTGGCTCACCTGGCCTGGCTGGAGAGGACAGGGCTGAAATGCAGCTCAGACTGTGCTTGCCAGACCCTGGACCTTGGCAGGAGCATCAGCCACCAGGAGGACTGGGCACAGAGCACCACACAGGCTCACAGCAGGATATGGGTAACTCGTGTCATTTTTAAAGAACCTCAAAGAGACAAGTGAACGCATCAGTATTTCCAAGCCAAATCCTCTAACAGCCCCATGGAGACAGTGTCTCTCTAAATTAGCCACCAAACAGGTCCCCAGCCCCAGGGGATTGGTCGCCTCGTTTTTGTCTGGGGGAGAAGGGAGGGTGAGTGAAAGATCCACACCCCGGCTGGGCTGAGCACCCCATCCCTCCAGCAGAGATCAACCCAATACTCATGCCCTATCCCAAGGGAGAGATCCACCTGGAAGCCTGGGAGCCGAGAGGTCTTTCCAGCTGTCTGCACTAACAGAGTCCGCCTCCCGGGATGCTGGGACAACTGAGGCTGAGACAGAGGCTCTGCGGCCCTCACACGCTTACCAGGGAAAAGAAGAGATGGGTGTAACCCGTGTGCAGGGTAGAGAGGAAGACCCAGGGTGCCAGCCTGGGGCATCTGGGGAAAAAAGACTCCGGGTCTCATTCCCTCCTCTAAGCCACGTACAGGTGTTGGCTCTACAAACTAGATAGGCAAAGGGCTTTCTGCCTCGTGGGTACTTTCCGAGTGACTGGTTTGTGACTGCCTCCAAGGAGGGGTCCCAAGGTCTCTGCCTCTGCTCCTTGGATCTCAGGCCCTCCCCCAATCAGAGCGGAGTGTACATAGGGAGGAAATCAAGGTGTGGGCAAACCTTTCTAATTTGCAAAGGGTACAGGAAGTGGGCAGGGCTGCCGAGGTGTCCGTTGCTGGGGAGACGGCGGTCACAGTCTATCCACCAGCACTAGCTGCCTCAGACAGTAACCACGAGCCTGGCCGATGAAGCAGGGACTATGGTCGCCCGGCAGAGCTGAGGTACACAATCCTGGGTTACAACTCAGAAAAGAAATCAGAGTGCCGGCTTTGTGCCTCTGGAGAAGAGAGAACCAGGTCAGAAGCGTATCCATCCCACGCCACCTGGAACAGCACAGCGCCCTTACAAAGCCCACCACCACCAGACTGACCCTTCCAGAGCATTTTTATCAGCAAGTAAAATTTGACTTAATTACTAAGCAAGGCCCTTCTGTCAAGCGCAGTGTCACCAAAAGATCACAGCATCTGCTTTCCCTACTGAAATACCTCCTTTTATCTAGAAAAACTCTCTCCCTGACACATCTAGCATGAGATAAGTGTGCGACCAATTTATTCACTGGAGGAGCTCCAGGATTCCAAGAGTGCGTTCCACGTTGTGAATCGGCGCCAACGAGTCATGTGGTCACGTGCAGCGTATGTTTTGCCGATTGAGAAGGGCATGTGAGGGCAGCAGATCGCCTTTTAAGTAGCTCGATAATTCACTGAAGATACCTTTGGGGTTTACTATGAATATGCAAGAACTGCCTGGAATATTTTACCCAGGCAGTGACATGAGTTTTCTCCCTCTGCAGTGAATCCACAGTCAGGGACCAACCTTGAGAAAACACTAGAAATGTGAGAAAAGCAGAAAGAATTGCGGAACTGATACCAAGTAAAATGATTATCTACAGAGCCATTGGAGCTCGCATGCACGCGTGTGTCAGGCTATGCTTCTCTAAAATCCACGAGTCTTCAAGGTAGATTTATTGGCAAACATACCATTTAAAGACACATCTTATGACACTCGTATAGAAGAGGGAGACATTTCGAACTTTTATAACATATTACTTTCTTTTGCAAATGAAAATTAAGAACAGAATTTTTTAAAAAGCACAGTCATATCTCAACTCCTTTAGAGCAAACATCACAAAAATGAACGTTCGTGCATGGGGACAAAATACATCTTGGTGAAAATACGGAGTCAGGAGTCTTGGTAAAAGGCCTCTCTTCACTGGGAGGCCAGTTCTAGAACACTCTTTTCCAAGTGAAGAAACGTGTCAGGTCCTTAAAAGTTACCAAGGCCCAAAGAAAGCATCCCCCACCAGCGATGCCGATCTCACGACAAACCACACCCCGGGCCCATCCGTGTCGCCCTCGGTTGGTGCTCGGGGCGGAGACAGAACAAATTCCATCACAGGAGTGTAGTGAACAGGTGTGCCGGTCACAAGACCAAGGAGACAACGCAGGTACCATTTCCCCCTTTCCTAAGGCCTCCTGGTGCATCTTGCAAGGGAATCGTTCCTTAGAAAAGGCCCACAGTTTCATTTTAGTGAATTAGCAATTGCCAGTCTTCTGGTGGGTATCCAGGCCATAGAAAAATCTTTAAAAGTCTTTCTCACTCGATTACATTTTTAAAGGACCATTAGCAGCATGTAAATCGGATCGCTGGGAAGAAGCAGCAGCACCCTAATACCACAGGAGGAGGCACAGCCCGCGGATGGC